GGGTGTCAATTACCGGTTTGGTGCTCCTGGGCCTCCTCGCGCGACCTAGTCCGACCGCTTTTTCGCGCTGACGTGTCGGCCGCTCGCCTCGCTGACTTATGAAAGGCGGCACGGCGATTATCTATCATCTGCCCCGCTACTGTCGCGTGAACGCGAACGCTCCGACAGAGACGTCCCGTCCGTCGTGCCGCTTATTCTTGACGCGGACGACTCGGTTCTCTCCCATCCCGCGGCACTCTCCCGCGTCCCACGCTCGAGAGCGACAGAAGGCAGAAGTCGGGACAGTCGTGGGTCGCGGTTGCACTCGAGGGGCTCGAGTGCTCGGGTTAGGGAGGGTCGCTGGCGCCACGGCGCCGACCGTCGCGCGCTTAGCGTCGCGGATCGACCTGGGGCTCGATCGTCAATCGTTTTCTCCGGCGCGAACTCGTGAAAAGCGAAAAATTTCATTAACGAATTCTGGAGTTCGATCACGAATCTTTTTCTCCTCTCGCGTGAACTCGCGAAGAGTGAAAAATTTTTTATTGACCAATATTGAATTTGTCAATGAAACTTTTCACTTCGCACGAGTTCATGCTTGAGGAAGAGATTCACAATTGAGTCTCTGGAGCGAAACTCCGATTTAACTTGGATATCGCTAGTTGTATACTTTTTAGACATGTATAAAATTTTTCTGTATTAATCCCAGTCTACAATAAATAATTTAAGCCATGGAGGAAAGGACAACTGGTCGAGGGAGCAATTTCCCCTCGGCCCGTCTAAAGCCTGTATCGGACTACGGATTGAGATTGGATTGAAATTTGACTAATTAGAGTAAAAGTTACTAAACTTGAGATTAATGAACTTTGCTGTGATTAGTCAAATTTCAATCCAATCCCAATCTCAATTCGTAGTCTGGGCTGCTTTCGCGAGAAGATCAAAATAATCCGGATTAAAATGACCCTGTGCTTATGATTGGTCAAATCTGAAATTTCGTAGCAACACATTGAAATTTTATTCAATGAAATTCCAGATTTGACCAATCATAGCGCAGGGTCATTTTAATCCGGATCATTTTGATCTTCTCGCGAAAGCAGCTCTGACTACGGATTGAGATTGGGATTAGATCGAAATTCGACCAATCACAGTGAAGTTTACTAATCTCAAGTTTCATACGCTTCATGAGAAACCGGCCTGACAATGGGATTGACCTAGTTTACAACGTACACTTGATACACGTATCAAATAGTAATAAATAGTAAATTGTTTTAGTTATTGACTGATCAGTTCAAATGTACCATTTGATACGCGTATCAAGTGCACGATGCGAGCTAGGTACTCATTAAAATTCGAAAGTTCTGCGCGGGTGCGGCCATCTTCTCTCTCTCCTCGCGCTTCCGCGCAACGCCGTTGAGAATCGGTAGACGCACGTACGACGCGACGACAGGTGGCGCTGTACGACCCGCCTCCGTCGTGTCTCGGCATAAAAATTGAATTTTCATTTTTCATCGCGGCTGCGGAGGGAGGCTGAGCACGGACGCGTTATTTATACGATTTATCTCGCCGCGTGCCGCGCCCGACACTGCCGACACGCGAAAGCGCGACATTTAGGGGTAAACTGAGAGCGACGACGGTCCCGAGGGTGAAAAAAAAAAGACCCCGACTCGTTCGCTTTGAGAGGCACGGCAAAGGGCAAGGGACGTGGGAAGGGGGAGCTGTAAATTGCCGTACGATACGAGACTAACGAGACGCAGTGCGAGCACGCTATTACGAAGCTGAAGCGAGACGGCATGACAGCCATCCGTCCTCCTTCTCCCTCCCCCCTCTCGTGACTCCACGCCACCGCCTCCCACTACGAAAATCGCGCACGCAGCATCCTTGCGCGCGAAACACGCGTACGCCGGTGGACGCACGTGGTGTGTCTGTGGCTCGCGTGGGCTGTACATACCTGTGAATAGTGTATTTTGTAAGAGTATTCGCCGGGAGAGCGCGCCTGCTCCCGGGGAACGCTCCAGAACGAGCGCGCGAAAAGTCGAGCACGTGAACACCGCGAGCCGCCTCGTTAGGTGTTACACGTGTAAAGCACGTGAAAGCTCGAGCCGAACCGGGGCTGGTTTCGCGCCCCCTCTTTGCCTAATCCTAACACAAACCTATGCCCTAGTTTTAACGAAATCACCGCGTGAGGTGGAAGGCGAGAAGGCAACGCGAGTGCAACGCCGACAGATAGGAGGGAAAGAAAGAGGGAGGCGCGAGCGGTTGGTCGCGGAACGGATCCTCGTCGTTTTCGCTCGCAGCTCGGTAAATACGCTTCTCCGGCCTCACGCGGGCTGATATCGGCGCGTCGCCGCTCGTCATCGTCGCCGCCGTCGTCGCCGCTGTCGCGACCGCAACGGCAGTCTCGACCGCAGCCGCCTCGTCCCACCGCCGCCGCCACCGCCGCCGTCGTCATCGTCGCCCTCGTCCTTGTCACCGTCGTCGTGGAGACAGTCGGTGAGAATGCGTCGCCGTTAACAAGCGCGCGCCCACGGAACATGCACGCGCGACTGCCGTAGCGAGCGGTATCCTCTGCGGGGCATCTCGTCGGACGCCGCCGGCTCTCACCGCGCGGGAGCTAACCTCCACGGGACCGAGGGTGCGTCCCCAGCACGTTTGGCCGTACCGCGTTCGCCGCGCCCGGGGACAGCGGCGCGGCCTGACAGCGCGAGGACATGAAGTGGCTCGGCGCGAGCAGCGGAGGCGCCGGAGGCGAACCGGCATCCTCCATGCAGCTGCATCACACCTCCGCCAACGGCCACATACCCACGGTACATGCACGTGCGCTTTTTTTTTCTCTCTTTCGTTTCTCTTTCTCTCTTTCCCCTTCTCTCTATCTCTCTCTTTCTCTGTCCCTCTCTGTCTTTCTCTTTCTCTCTCTCTCTCTCTCTTTCTCTGTGCTCTCGCTGTTCGCGATCGGCTTACCTCGAGCGTCGGGGAACGCGCCGACCGCGAATCGAGCGTGACCGCCGACAATCGCGGCGCACGAGAGTCGGCCGCCATAACCTCGACGGGCAACCGCGCTGGGAACATAGACATATAAAAGATAGACTGCTTATGAGGCAGTGGAACCCTAGGTGGGGGCATCCTCCTGAGGGAAAAAGGACAACATGAATTTATTTGGGTATCTGTCTTCCTCTAGTGACGGCGATCACGTGATCATGCCCACGTGATCACGTACACTAGAAGAAGATAGATACCCAAATAAATTGGTGTTGTCCTTTTCCCTCAGGAGGACATCCCCCACTACCTCATAAGCAGTCTATCTTTTATCAAAGAGGATCATATAGAGTGGAAGCTGCCATAAGAGCACAATGTTAAATAGCGTGGCCGAATTTCAGAGCCATCTACCAGCTCAGAGGCCATCCTAAATCCCCCCACTCTTCAATAATATATCGAGAAAAAAAATCTTGCTCGCCGGGAATCGAACCCGGCTCGCGCGGATGACGGTCCGACGTCTAACGCACGCGGCTATCGCGTACACTCGGGAATACATAAATGTTAAACACTATATAAGCTACACGGTGACACACTACACGTAGTGCGTCTCCGAACTGCCAGATGGCACGAATCGCGGTACTCGGCCAGCTTCCACTCTATATGATCCTCTTTGTCTTTTATATGTCTATGGCTGGGAATACGAGCGTTTGCAAATGTCAGCATGAGTGTTACCAGTGCCGAGCGCGGGAGCGTTGATTCTCCGGTTGCTCTGTGCGCCGCGCGAGAAGAATGTGCCTCGAGTGGCTCGATCGCCAAATAAACGTGCGAGAACGAACCGTCTCTTCCGGCCTGAAGACGCTGGGGGGCAGGATTGGGGAGGAAAAAAAAAGAAACTGTCGTTTGTTTCGGTACATGCCCGGCTATTAAGGATGTATTACATATACCTTCCCAGCAAAAAATACAGTAATCTTAAAAATTCAATATATATCGGTTGTATGCATACTTTAACGGCTGGCTATTATTGAATATTATAACAAAGATGTTAATGTCACTGATTTAAATAACTTCAACCTCTTTTTATAATTATTGACAGCGTATTTATAAATATTCTTAATAGCAGTTAAAAACTTTTGGCTGTGAATTTGCCCAGAATCCAACTGCTAAAACCAAAAATCTGACATATGTAATCTGCATATAGACAGAAAGTGTTGGTTGTATATAGTTAGAAA